ACACACACACACACACACACACACACACACACACACACACACACACATAAAAATTATTATATTTAATTTAATAAAATTATTATTAGATACTTTTTATAATTACAACAATTATAGTAATTGTTTTCTGAAACGAAATCTGTATAACATTAAATTTTACCTTTTATTGTTTATATTAATATTTTAAACATGCGGAACATGATGCTTGTATTTTTCTGTTGAATTGCTTACATTTGAGCTAGAAAATCTGCGTTAATTCTGCATGGTACAATTCTAATAATTTTAAAAAACGCAAGCAATTTAGCAGGAAAACAAGCATCGTGTACCGATCATTAATTATATTTTTACAGTTTAATATTTATACCATACTTATATAATTTAATATTTTCTTAATTTTGTCTTTTTTTTTATTTTGCAATACATTACAATTATTAATGTATTTCTTTTAGTTTTTTACATTTAATTAATTTGCTGTACATACAAATGAACTAGAGCAGCTAGAAAGAAAGAGAGAGAAAAAGGAAACTAAAGAGCAAGTGAGATAGAAGTTTAGATGGCGTTACTGGGGAACTTACTGATTTCGCGCATGCGCACTCCATTTTTGCCAACACTAACATCAAAGGTGCCGACAGAGAGTTGCGCTACTGTATATACTGTGCTGATAGTTTAATTGAAGTTAATGCTATTAGTGACTCCTCTAATAATCCTAACGAGGAGGGGTTCTTCTAGTAGATTAAATTCTTCTAATAGATTAAATTCGATTTATGTTCAAAGAAAAAAGTAACAGGTACACTGCTCAAAATAACGCTTCCTTTTTGATATACTAAATCGACTCAAGAGAATATTGGAAGTCATCATTCGTTAAGTTCGGATAAATTATTATATAACAAATTCGGTAACATATTAAGTATTCGGTATTATATATTCAAAAGATTCGGTAAAATTTTAATTGGTATTAATTTTCAAATTTGGTCAGATGCTAATAAATTTGTGAAATTATCCAATCTATTGCCTGATAACTGGGTAGTGTTCATCCCTAACTTTAATTTTCCGTTCTGGTATTATTAAAGAAATTAACTTGGAGCTTCCTCTCTCTCCTTAGAAGATATCTCCAAGGGTACTTTTTGGTCAAACACAATCCGATTGGAATTAAATTTAGTAGCAGATTGAAATTTAAAGATAAACATGATAATATGATTAAAGATTCTACTACCGTTAACATCGATTTTACATCTAACTTATTGCCAGCATATAAATAATTAAATTACCAATATATTTAATTGAATATGGTAATAAATTGAGTAAATCATCTTACACATTGATATCTGTGTTGGCTTAAAATAGTCATTATTCATTATACTGATTTATTGTCAGAATATTTATGTATTTATTAGGCAAAATTTAGAATTCTCCCATTTGATAATAATGTCCGCCATTGCTTTAATTGTATGGAACATTTTTCCCTCTTTTGTAGAGGCAAAACACGCAAGCAAGCAAGCAAGCAAGCAAGCAAGCGAGCGCACGCACGCACGCACGCACGCACATACATTATTAATATACACGTGAATTGTAAAGATCATTTTGTTATCCTTAGATTTTTTATGCCCATTGTTTAAAAATTTAAAATCATTAATTCTATGATATTTGTAATGTTAATCAATCACGAGCCAAAAGAATCATTACGAAAATGAATTTTGTAGACATAAATCAAATCCATCATATTATACTTTCAGAACATCGACTTATTTCACTTGGAATTGATTTAAACTTAAACATCAACAAAGGTTCCACATGAATAGAATTTCAGCTAAGAAGCCTAGAAAAAACATGTATCTTCGAGAAATAAACAAACCGATCAACCCTCGGTCTCTAACTTTATTGTGTATGCTCAAGATCTCTTAGATATCTCATTATGAATGATTTTATTTTTTATTGAGCTTTGAAAAGATATACTTTCTTACTTTCGGTACCTCATAGCATTTTACTAGAGACTATAAGAAAATAGTATTACTGCTGATATGCACTGGACTAATTGGCCACTTTTAATCTAGTAATTCTATGATAAAACTGTGGTACTGCGATTCTAACTCAAGAATCGGAAATCCATCGGCTAGTTAAGAAGAAAAAAATGAATACTCGGGAGCCGTTCATTGAAAGTAGCGTTTACACGACATCTAATGTCGTCAATAGTTATTGTAAAATCGATATTATAACTTCATCCTAAACTGGACCGTGTAAACGTAGTAATTGTCAAACGTGCAATAGTAAATTCATTTTATTGAGAAAAAATTTCCACAATCTATTAGTCACAAGTTAAGCCAATCTTTTTTATATTAAGTTTTCAAAGGCAAAAGAAATCTTGGTAAATATTCAGAAAAGGGGAGTCACCTCCGACGACCTTGACCTTGACATATGTTGTCAAGGTTGTGACCCTGAGTGACCTCCACCAGGTTTTAGCCGTCGGTCGTCATTCGTTAAAAAGTTATTAACAGTTAAAGTTAGTAATTATTTCACTGCTTTACATGAAAAGTCAGATAACTCTGACCTTCGACTCTCACCCCCCTCCCCCCTGCAAAGGTGGGGCGCCCGACTCTCATCTTCAACTCTCATCCGCCTTCACTCCCTGTAAAGAGGCGCACGACTCTCATCTTCGACTCTCACCCTCTCTCACCTCTGCAAAGAAACGCCTGACTCACCTTCCACTCTCACCCCTCCCCCCACTGTTTGAGAGTCGTTCGCCCCTTTGCAGGGAGGGGGGGGGGAGAGTCGAAGGTGAGAGTCGTGCGCTCCTTTGCAGGGAAGGAGGGGGAAGCCATATTCCCTTGATCAGTTCACTCGATACTTCTCTCGCTGCCCAGAGTTGTCTGACTTTTCATGTAAAGCAGTGAAATAATTACTAACTTTAATTGTTAATAACTTTTTAACGAATGACGATCGATGGCTAAAACCTGGTGGAGGTCACTCAAGGTCACGACCTTGACAACATATGTCAAGGTCAATGTCATCGGAGGTGGCTCCCCTTTTCTGAATATTTATTGAAATCTTAATTTCAAATCTACTCGTATCATCTCATCGTTACAGCTATTTAAAAAAATTCATCAAAATTATTTGATAAAATACTTAAACGTATATGTTGTAATTCTCAATATTGCCATTTTAATTAAGTGCATATGGGAAGCACGCAGGAATCGAATTTTTCTTTTTTTAACACAGTTTCACTTGCTGAATCCGAGAATTATAGTTAAAATAGTCTTGATATCCAGGAAATATGATTTTGGGACACATTTTAACAGAAGAAAGTAAACGGTTGGATTTATCGGTTGCGTTCAACAGAAAAAACAACTTGGAACTGTAGTAAAATTCTTTAACTTGATTGGTCTTACTCTTACAAGTAACCCTACCTTTGTATTACTCGCCGATTTTATTGAAACTTTGTAGATTTGTAGAATAATTGAAAATAATAGACATGTATTTTTTATAGCGGTGCAATTTTAAAGATGAAAACTATCTCTTATATTTATAAATCAGTAATTAACTTGTTGCATTTAAAATCAACCGTTGCTTTCTTCTATTAAAATGTGTGTCCCAAAATTATATTTCCCGGATTCTACAACTATTTTCATTATGTTTCTCGGATTCAGCAAGTAAAACTGAGTTTAAGAAAAAAGATAAATTCAATGATCCCTGCATGCTCCTCACATCATCTAAAATCAATGAACTCCTCTGTATTATTAGTAAATTTTGAAATTCCGATTAGAAATTCGAATCTTCGATTTTAAAAACCTGTAAGAAAATATTTTCAGATAATTTTAATATTTAATTTAAAAAATGATGATTAACTCCATGACGTCTATACACTAGTAGCAACCCACTTTGTATATGATATCTGTAGACATCATAAATACTGGAAGGATTTTACAAAAGATTTGTTATAATTTCAAAATTCTAAAGTTGACATATTCCAAAGCGGTAATCCAAATATTTGTTGTATGAACCGGATATAGTTATCTTCTAATATGTATTACAATAAAATATTTATCAAAAAAAATACTACTAAACAACAAATTACTTAATACTGAACGTACCATGTGAATGTCTTTGATTATTCTTAATATTTATACACTGATAAACATGTTCTTCATATTCTTTTCCATTGTTCGTCTTGTAATTGCTGCATATATTACATTCTAATATAATCCTGTCTTTATCATCCTCTTCGTTATTAGTCTCGAATTGTTCGCAATCGGCGGCATGATTCTCTATCTCGTTATGTGGAAACCGTTTATTGCATATAGGACAATTTACATTGTTTGTCGAAGTAGATACATTATCAGATCGATTACCATTCTGAAAATCAAACTGCTATAAATGAAAAAGAATTATAAAGGACAGTAATACCTTCTGAGATATTTGGAGATAAAAGTGAAATTTTTTTACAACTTACTTGATTCATCTCAGATGATTTGTCCTCATCGGACAATAGTTCATGCTCCCAACTTCCATTTCTATTATCTAGCCTGTATAATTCTTCTATCTTTCGTCGTTCGCAAAGCTTCAATCTTTTTATCTTATTTTGCTCCTCATCGCTTTTCTCCTCCTTCGCCGTTGCCCGTGCCTCTTTCGCTTTTTTGTTTAATGATAATCGTTTATCTCGTAATCTATATCGTACTTCTTTCAATATCGGCAGTGGCCGAAGCTTCACATCCTTTTCCCCCGTACACACCTTTTCCTCGTCATTACTCCAGTCTTCTTCTAGTTGGCGGCGAATTTCTTCTTCTGTCATTGTATTATCTTTCTTTTGATTTTTTGCCTGTTCAACATCTTTACTCTCATCTTTACTCTCGCATCGCGTTTTTGGAAATAGTTTCGATGTAGCGTTTTCCTTTCTTTTTCTAGTCAGATTTAAACGCGTTTGAGGATTGGGAGGTCTTATTCTTCTAGGATACGCGGTTAATTCTGGCGAGCGTGAATGTTTAACATACTCATTGTCAATATTTGTATTGCTTTTATCATCGCTGAAAGAATTATCTGCAATCACGTTTTCTTTCTTATAACTAGTATGCGCATGCTGATTCTCAACATATTCTACATTATTCAATTTATCATTCGATTGAATTCTCTTTTTTTTATTACGAGTAAAGTCGTATTGATTGTCGTCTTCGTTTTCAGAGGAACTGTCTCTATTCAGAGTAGCGATGAGAGTATTCGCTTTACGTTTACTAGCTCGCTCATAACCGTCTCGGTGTGTATATTCTGCTTTGATCTGTTCAGTTTTAGGATTTGTTAATGGTTTTTTATCCAAACTACTGTTAGTGGTGCTGACCTACAGAAACACAAGGATTAAAATCAAAATAAGATTAAATGAAGTAAACAACTATTTTTTTTAAACAAATATAATTTATTCAAAAATGTTTCTCGCAGTTTTTTTTTTACAGCTTTATTCAATAATTGCGTATTCTTGTAAAACGCTCACGTATATTATACATGTTTTCATATAAATCTAATTTTATAGTAATATCAAATATCAAAATATCAAACGTATGTATATGTGTATACATATGTTTTTTTCTTAGTCTGTTCGACAAAAAAATGCCAATGGCTCACAAGTAATTTTTACATACACACTTTGATGTAAGTTAAAGTGATAGAAGCGTCGTCCGCAAATAATATATGGAAATTATATGCACTATATTAGTATAATATCAGATATAATAAATGCATCTTAACGGTATTGCAATACTGCATTACTTATATGATTTTTGAAAAAGTCGAATTATAGCCTTGGTAAAAAAAAATCCTCATATTATCTCATATTTTTAAGAATTTACCGTATTTTAAATTCATGAAGATTCCTAAAAATTATCTTCAATTTTTTTTAGATTTTATATGTTTTTTTCAGAAATTATAGAATGAGGAGTCTTGAAAATCTTAGAATATCAAAATTCAAATACATATAAAGAATTCTAGAATTAATGATGTAAACCTTCTCAACACTTCTAAAACGTGTTCAAATTTGTATTTATAAAATCTGAGATTTTCTAAAAACTTACACAATTATACAAAAATTCTTAATTCTAAAATTTACAATACAAATTTTGAAAAATTATATGAAAAATTCTAAGAAAAATTTTCACCACAGAATATAATTTATTAAAGGAAAACAAGAGCGGACAACCGCTAGAAAAATTTTTCGTAAAATTAATACGATTTCTTTCAATATAAATTGAATCTTTTCCGCAACTTGACTTTATCGATAATTTCAAGAATTTCAAAGTAGTACATTTATAAATGTGAGAGAGAGAGAGAGAGAGAGAGAGAGGTCCACAAAATTACGACTCCGTTTGGATTTTGTTCATCAAAACACACGTTCAACAAAACAAACACTGTTCTATAAACGAACATTCGTTTGCATAAAATTAAAAAATATATATATGTGTATATTTGAAGTTTGGCAAAAAATAATAGCGTTTTCTCTTGGCTGCACTATTGCCCACCAGTGCAACACTCAGATAGTATACCGTGTTTCCAATTGGCGCTATGGTATAGCGCAAATTTTATGCACGAAGTGGGATTTTGCTATACCGTCTCAATGGAACGGTGTAGAGTGTAGAGTCAGTATGACATTTAATATTTGAAAAAATGAAAGTCAACCGGAAACAAGATTTTAGCACAATAATAAAGTAGTGTATATATACGCCATGATGTACACCACTCCAGTGCAGTGTAGCGCTTACATGCAACTGATACGGTGCAAGACTACACACAGTGTATCCCAAGGAAAAACGCTATAAGAAAATTGTAGTGCAGTTTAGCGCAGCGATAAAGGCTTTTCTTAAATTATTGATTGCGTTCAACAAAGAAAATTGATCAGTGAACGCTTAGTGATTTTTTAATATAATTCCTACACTTAGATCAGCAGAGAATTAAAGACAAGAATCAATCATTATTATTATTAAAGAATCACTGAGCATTCACTTATCAGTTTTGTCTGCTGAATGCAGCCATTTTTTTATATTATGATATAAAAAATCTTAAATTCAGATATTTTTAATTCAAACGAATATATTCAAGGTAGTGACTACTCTACTTATTCTTTAGAAGTCGTATTTCTTAGTTTCTGTACATTATGCCACAATTCGCAGAAAAATTGTATATAAATATGTTATCAGAACAATTTTTTACATGAATGACGACATAAGTAATCTATAGATCTGTTGTAGAACTAGTGTATACTTGTGCTTAAAATGAAATAGATGTATATTTGAAGATTAGCAAAAACGAAAAAGAAAAGTTTAGTGCAGTCACTGTAGCGATAAAGATCAGGCCTTATGACACATAATACACGCTTATTTACAGTAACCTAGAGCCAAGCATCAGATCGAAATGAAATTAACATTCGTCATTGTTTCTAAAATATAAATAGTATTGTGCAATTTGTAAACCTAGATTATTTAGAATGAAAATGCAAGAGGTTTGCAAAATTGTCCATTTTACTTCGTATGGAAACAATTATATTTTTACGCTTGCGAGTGTATATTTTTGTATTTTTGTGTTTGTGTATATAAGAGTATACATGTTTTTTTACTTTACCTTTTTTTACTTTACCTTTGAAAATATTTGTAACTGCAGCATATAATTTTGTTAGATATGTACATATAATTAGAAAATATTTTAACATATTTCTAAAAAAATATTTAAATATTTAAAATATCTTTTTTCTTGCAAATGGTGATGTGACCGATAATACGATTTTTAATGAATAGGTAAATAGTGTAGTTCGCCACCTTGAACACAACCATTTATGCTAAAAATATACAAATTTAAAATATTTTTAATAATAAAAGTTTCACATTTAGATGTGTTTTTTAATAATAAAAAAAGCTTCTGGTAATATAAAAAACAAAATCCAGAGAGAGAGCCAAAATTGGATCTTGTGAAAAAAATTGTTCAAATATATCAAAACAAAGAACGCGAATATGCTTTTAATAATATGTATATCCAAGCAAAAATCTTACGTCTAAAAGAATTGATATACATAAATTATACGGCAATACCGAATTGTATAATAATGACTATATTAAAAAAAAACCGCGTATTAGATACACTCATCAAAAAGTAAAGTACTTTACGCTCGTTAACGATACGAACGATACGAGAGGGATTGTAGGGAGGTACCCACCTGAATGGGTGACCCCCATTGAAATATCGGATTGATAATGGGGCGCCAACTGTACCACAAGTTTGCCATTTCCTTCAAATGCTGGTTCACGGACCGTATTACTTGGTTACACTGATCGGACATGTGCGCTTCTTTACAATGCTCAAACGGCATACGCTCTCGAGCTAAAGATCTATTTGGCTGTCGCAAAGGCACGTCGTTTTCGTTGATGCAGACATCGAGCGGATTCAATCGCCATCTTTCCAACTTTTGAATGATTTCACTTTGCGCATCCTGCGCCGTTCTTTTCTCCATCGCATTCTGGCATCCCCGCGAAACATTTTCCAATCTCAACGAGAGATATCGATTTGTAGTGTGCATGGAATTGGAGTTATCGCACTGTTTCTCGAATAGCTCATCATTGTCAGAGCTCTTGTAAATAGGGCTTCGTACTTCAAAAAGGGGCGAAGATTCCGGACTGTTGATATAATGAACGGCTCTACGTTCGTGCATTGTCGGAGACGTATGATTCAATTTGTACGAGTATGATGGTTTTGGCATTTCTGTACACTTCTGCAAAGTCACTTCTTGCTGCACGTTTATGTCAGATGTAACATCTGATAGGCACTCATTATCGAAATGTTGTATTGGCTAAAAAATTTCAGACAGTGAATTCGCTATTCTCCTTTCTAATTTCTTTCATTATTGTCATTATATAAAATATCTCATTTTTAATGTATATCAAAGCTGCACGCGTATAAAGTATACAATTATAATCATACCTCCTGCATATTTTTATTATTGGAAGCAACGTTCGATGTATCTTGAGACTCATTAACAAATTCGAGTAGTCTTTTCATTTCTGTATACGTAAATCCTGGCTCGTATATCCCAATACCTAAAAAACAAAATATTAATTGTGCTTTTAACAAATACATTCTTAGCCTTTTCTAAAGCCTATAACACACGCTTTTTTTCTTGCAGGATTACTCGTATGCTATACTGGCAATCTTGCTGGCTGTTATGCTGAAAATGCTACCACAATAACCTGTTGGTTGGTCTACTGGATTTTCATATGATGATATTGATAGGTCAGATGTGTGCTGTTTGTCTTGCACATTTGTGCTGGCCCATTATGATAGACGCAGTCTTAGGCCGGAATCAGACTACGCATTGAAGATTGAGATCGAAGATTGAAGATTGAAATTTGACCAATGAGGGTAAAGGAATTTTAGCTCCTATTGTTTTGATTGGTCAAATTTCAATCTTTCAATTTTTAATCTCAATCTTTAATGCCTAGTCTGATTCCGGCCTTAGGTCTCTTCGCAAGAATTAAAAACAATGCAATTGTATTATTCTTTCGCCAAGTGCCTTTTTTAGGCCTGTTCTTTTTAGCTCAACTTCTTGCGCGGTTCACCTTTTCTCTTTTCCTCTCCAACATGGAGAAAAAAAGGAAGAAAAATGAACCGTACAAAAACCTTAGCTAAAAAGAGCAGATTTTTTTGTCAAACAAATACCAGCTACTCAGCCAACACAAAAACTTATACCGTTTAAAATCGAACCAGCAAAACAGCCAGCAGTATTTTGCAAGCATACAAATTCAACTAGCAATCTTGCAGCAAAAAAGCATCGTATGCTACAGGCTTAAATCAAGATAAAGTTTTAAATTAATATTCAACTAAAAATAAAATGTATTTTGACATATAATTATTGGTTGTTAACTAATGCTATTATATAATGTTATTATCTGCCTATTAAACCATGCGGCAGCATTTTTCACATAAAATAATTGTCCATGAAAGTATAGAGATAGAATCTAGCATAGGCATACATTTCATTTTGCGGTAAGTTATTTGCGTTTTTTATGAACTTTTGAAGCTTAGAAATGTCACTTCGACCACGGTACAAAATAAAATTTTGCGATTGTCTGAAAATAACATATTTTCATATAAAATTGGTCGTTGAATAAGAAAAAAAATAAAGTTGAACTGATTGGAGTAGAGCAAAATGGAAAAAATGCATTTTTAACAAAAAAAAAAAATTGCTCAATTTCCTCCCTTTTACGATCTTTCTACAATTTTTTTTTGTGAATATTAATAAAAAAAATATGAACTGCTTTCTAAGAAGAGAATTTTCAATTTTTAGTAATTTTCGACTAAAAATGCACTTTTTCATCATTTTGCTCTTTCACTTTTCCACTTTTAATTTTATTATTTTTTAATATTTTGCGACTAAGAAATATATAACTTTCATGACATAGAAACATATAACTTTCAAACAATCGCAAAAATTCATCTTGTAATGCGTCTGAAATGACTTCCTTTAAACTTTGAATGTGCATAACAACGCAAATAACTTGATATCGTAGAACATCTATGTTCGTCTCTATTTTCAAGAGCAATTTAATTTTTTCGTGTGACAGAAAATTTATTTTTGTTACACGATGTTATAATTTATACATATTTAAATCCAGGTTAAAATATTTCATTTAATTTTATATATAATGTAATAACACTTGCAGAAAATATATAATAGCAAATTCGGTCACTTGCACTACACTAGTGCATACTAAAAGCTGCTTTACATGAAATTAACAAAGTTAAATGTAAAAGTATATAAATATTTTAAACGATTAACGATCTACTTAATGATATAGTCACGTTATTTAACAAAATATATATGTATCATTTCATTGTCAAAGTTGATTACATTGTATCACTGCATCGAGATATTTTATGTAAAGCAGCTTTTAATATACATTGATCCAGTGTAATGTGAGTGATCGAATTCACTATAAGATATTCTTGTAATCAATGATACGATTGAAAAGATAATTTTTTCGCTTACTTTCGCAAATATTATTGTATGTTTTTTAACAATAATTATTAATATAATCTCTGTTAAAATAAAATTGACAGCTGACAGGGGACTGATGACTTGTAAAAAAATGTAATTAAAATTCATGTAATGTTATAAATCTATAAATATATTTTTTTTTTATGTAAAGTTGATTTTTTCGAAAATAAACTCTCATCTAAACAAATTTTATTCTACATTTAAGATGCTAAAGGTATTATTATTAAAATTGACGATCAATTAATTTAAAATTCTGAAATTATTTCAGTTTATGATTGTATTTCAAGTTTGACAAATCCAATCAGTGCATAATCTATAGAACCAACAATGATGTATAAGTACATGTGGGAACACAACTAATAAGATATACATATATTTACACATTTATATATTCATATATGAATATTACCACCGACGAGACACTATTAAAAACAGACATCCTTACAAAAGAGTTCGCATCCTAGTTAATATATTTAAGTGATGAAGAAACTGAGTAAGAAACTGAAAATATAGTACTAATTTTATGATTTATTAGTTTCTCAGACATAGATATGCATTTAAAACTCAATATATATAATAATTGATTTTTATTTAAAATTGTGATTTTAATGTTATCATTCAGGTTTAATTGTAGACAAAAACTGTAGATAAAAAAATTAGGTGCATTCAGTACTATGAGTGCTCAGTGAGCTCTTGTATCTGTTTGGTTTATATTTTTAAATCTAACGGAATATGTGAATCAAATGCAAGAGCTTACTGATCGATGTAGTACTGAATGCATCCAATAGGTGCATCCAGAAGCACAACCGCTCACTGAGCGCTCAGTGAGATTCCGTTAGATTTAAAAATATAAACCAAACAGATACAAGAGCTCACTGAACACTCATAGTACTGAATGCACCTAATTTTTTTGTCTACAGTTATCATCTCTATTGATAATAATTAAACCTGAATGATAACATTAAAATCACAATTTTAAATAAAAATCAATTATTATATATATTGAGTTTTAAATGCATATCTATGTCTGAGAAACTAATAAATCATAAAATTAGTATTTATATATTCATATATGAATCTATATTTTCAGTTTCTTGCACCTGATTGGCATACTCCATTAGATCTGAAAATATAGACCAAACAGGTACAGGACCTTACTGAGCGCTTAATGAGCGGTCGTGCTTCTGGATGCACTTATTGTAATTTTGCAGCAATATATAAGATATTATAGCATTACAAGATGTACACATTTATTTACAGAACATTTATGTAATAAAAAATCGTGATTTTAATAATGTATTAGTCAAATATTTACGTTAATAATGACAAATTTATATCAATTGTCGATAATGACAACGTTCTTCAATTATCTCCGGACCCTTCTTTTGCAAGGATGAAAATTTGCCCAGGGTTGATGGTCTTTAATAGTATTGCGTTCTAATATCCCAATTAAAGATAACCTCATACTGTAAACATATTTGATTACCTGTAAGTTCACGTTTCATTTCCTCTTCCTCGATTTCCCTCGCGGTTAACCTTTCACTTTTCTCTCGCTCCATACTGTCAGACATCCCTCGTCGAAAATAAAGTGGACTTGTGGAAATTGCGCAAGTTCGTCTTTCTTTTCTTTTCCTCTGTATCGATATCCGTGCTCATAAAACACTGAACAAATGCCACGACTTTATCCCCACGCGAGAAATTCTGATCTTAACGAAAAGCACGAAAAGTAAATAAAGAATTTCTTTGTATAATCAGAGAGCATCGCCTTCAGGCATAGACAATAGCACAGAACATATACTAAGAGAAGCGTAAAATCCGTGTTAAATCATGGAAACACACAAATACGATTGCAGCGCTCTAAGTGGGTTGGCCCTTGTATTACATAAGGATGGGTTCGATTTGGACGCTCATGTTCTTTAAGCGCTTATAATTGTCATATATATGGCTGCGTTTCACTCGCTCACAACGCTCGTGGAATCATTTCATCCTTGTCGTTTATCAAATGTTAAACAAGGACAAATGATGCTCGCGAGCGTTGCGAACATTGGTTGCGTTCAGCAGAACGTTCGTTTTACAACTGTTGGAAATTTCCTTCGCGCTAATTGGATCATACTTTTAGATCTAGAAGAATGGTCCTATCTCAGCAGACAATCATAAAACGGTTGCAAAACTGTTGAGTCTGCTGAACGCAGCTAATAAGTGGAACGCAGCCATATATATATATATATATATATA